GTGGCAAGGCTAAGTTCAAGCCCTAGCTGGCCTCCACTGTGTTAAGCCAAAAGCCCCCCAACCCCTCAAAATCTTGTGGATCTGTGCCTACTTATCTTTATGATGCTTCTCCTGAGATCCAACAGTGTTAAATTGTCCTCTTAGTAACTCTCCTAGGCTGATTTCTGCGAAGTCCCTATGGTATGTGTTACTCAGTTGCCATCTTCCAGGAAGTCCTCATCAACATTTTAAAGAAGCCCAAAGCAATATGCCATTTGAATCCTTGACTGCTGCTTTTATGAGCATCAATTGTGGATACAAGGTGAAATTTTTGATCATTTAAAACTTTTCTCAACTTTTCATTTTATCTGTTAGTCCAATTGTGAGGATTTTGGTATTCTTTACATTGGGTTGTAATCAATACTGAAGGCTGCAGTCCTTGATCTTCATCAGCAAGTGCTTCAAGTCCTCCTTACTTACAGCAAGCAAGGTTGTAACATCTGTATATTGGCGGATGTTAATAAACCTTCGGGTAATCCTGATGCCAAATCTTCTGTTATGAATCTTGCTTGAATTTCTGACACTGCCTGTTCAATGGAATAAAAGCTTTCAAATTGTCATCAGGAAAATTTGATAAATATTGATATTGTTCCCATTGTTCTTTGGAATGGGCAAAAATCCAGCACTTCAACAGCTTGTCAAAAAATTTCAATTGGTATTACATCAATTCCTGGATCCTTGTTTATTGCTAATGTCTTAAATGCAGCTTGGACTTCTTCTTTCAATGCCATTGGTTCTTGATTATATTCCACCTCTTGAAATGCTCGGATGTTGTCAAATCTTTTGTGTTCGGTGACTCTATTCCTTCCATAATATTGTGTTGCTTCCTGCATCAGTTCCTATTTTCCCCCTGTTGTTGTTCATAGGTGCCATCCAATTGATTATGACCCATAGTGATACTATACACAATAAAATGAACCACTGCCCTATCCTGCACGATTCTCATAATTGTTCCTATGCTTGAGCCCATTTTTGCAGCCACTTTGTCAACTCATCTTTTTTAGGATCTTTCTCTATTTCACTACCCCACCAAATTACCAAATATGACGTCTTTCTCCAGGAAGTGGTCTCTCCTGACATGTCCAAAGTGTATGAGATGAAGTCTTTCCATCCTTGTCTCTAAGGAGCATTCTGGGTATATTACTTCCAAAACAGATTTGTTCTTTTGGCAATCCATGTACTTTCAATATTCTTCATCTGCACCATAATTCAACGGCATCACTTCTTTTCAGTTTTCCTTATTCAGTGTCCAACTTTTACATGCATATGAGGCAATTGAAAACACATCAATTGCAAATTATAAGGCAGCATATGTGCAAATGTGATTGATGTGATGGATGAATGTATGGATTGTGATAAGGGATGTAAGAGCCCCCAATAAAAGTATTTAACAATTAAAAAAAAAAAACCCTTGAGGACAGAGTAGAACTGCCCCCTGTAAGTTTCTGAGATGGTATATCATTACTGGGGTAGAAAGCCTCGCCTTTCTCCTGTGGAGTTGCTGGTTGTTTCAAACTGCTGACCTTTCAGTTAACAACCCAATCAATGTGTAACCCTTTACACCACCAAAACTCATTTCTAGACCTAAGTTATATATGAATTATGAGGTTGTTTTTGTTTCTCTTTTTTTTAAACGTTTTATTGATATATAATTCACATATGTCATTTAAACATTTAATTATCTTAGAAAGAGTTGGGTAGTCATCACCATAATAAATTTTAGAACATTTTCTTCTTTCTTGTACTGTTATTAGCTCCCCATTTCCCCCAACCTCCCCTGCCTTACCCCCAAGAAACCATTAAACCAGTTATTGTCTCTATAGATTTACCTATCCTGGATTTCATATACAGAAAAATATACAAAACAGAAACAAATTAGTTTTGATAGCTGTTTTCCCTGACAATGTATTTCTTCCAGTCTTGTTAGGGGTTCTAGGTAAATATTTCAGTATCATAATCAAGACCAACTGGTACATGACACTAAACCTAACAACCTGTCTTTAGGACATGTTAGCCTGGCCAAGGCCAATTACCCTACATTTCTGCAAAACAGTATAATATTGCTACTATTGGTCCTACCAGCCTTTGTATGAATTATCTAATGTAATTCACAAGGTCTAAGAAAAAGAAAGGCTGAGTTACTTCAAGTCAGGGTAATACTGTGTCAGAACCAGGCTGTCACACTCCTGAGGCTGTGCCCTAGATGAACGTGTCATTTGGTGGCCGGGATATTTCTAACCCATCAGAAGGGACTGCTTTAGAGACTTTCACAAACTGTGCCATCCAGTTTGGAACGTCCTCCTCAGTCTTGCCTTTCAAATCTCAGTTTATAAATTACATCTTCAGAGACAGGTCTCTCTCACCCATCTAAATATAGTCTTCCTTCTTGTCACGTTCTCATGACAGCCGGTTTTCTCTTTTGTTGCATTTATTCCAATAAATATATTTTCCATTAAAAAATTACATCAATGGCAAATACATCATTTGATCTCTTGACTGCTGCTTCCATGAACAGTGATTGTGGATCCAAAATAGTGATGCCAAACTTTTCTCCGTTATTCCTGATATTATCTCCATAAGATCCAGTTGTGAGATTTTGGTCTTCATTACATTGAGTTGTCATCCATACTGAAGGCTGCAATCCTTGATATTCCTCACTAAGTGCCTCAAGTACTCCTCACTTTCAGCGAGTGTGTTTCATCTGCTTATAGCAGGTTGTTAATCAGCCTTCTGCTAATCCTGATGCCACCTTCTTCTCTATGCTATCCAGCTTCTCTGTTGCTCAGCATAGAGATTGAATAAGTGTCACAAGAAGATACAACCCTCATATACACCTTTCCTGATTTTAAACCATGCAGTATGCCCTTGCTGCTTGCACACTACCTCTTCTTGATCTATGTACAAGTCCCAAATTAGCACAATAAAGTGTTATGGAATTCCCATTCTTCTAAAGACTATCCATAGTTTGTTATGATCCATGCAGTCAAATGCCTTTGCATAGTCAAAAAATAAAAAGCAAACACCCTTCTGGTATTCTTTGCTTTCATCCAAGATCTATCTGATATCTACAATGATATACCTTGTTCCATGTCCTCTTCTGAATCTGGCTGAATCTCTGGAAGCTCCCTGTCTATGTACTATAGCAACCACTGTTGCATGATCTTCAGCTAAGTTTTACATGCATGTGATATCAATGGGATTGTTCTATAATTTCAGCATTCAGTTGGTCACCTTTCTTTTGCATAGGTACAAATACGGATATCTTCCTATCCGTTGACCAAGTAACTGTTTTCCAAGTTTCCTGGTATAGAGTAAGTGCTTCCAGTGCTTCATCGGCTTATTGAGACATTTGAATCGGAATTCCATCAGTTTCTGAAGGCTTGTTGGTTTTCTATTTCTCAATCTTTATAAATTGGATAGGTAGAGAATTTTCCAAACCTTCATGTACTAGTTCTTTTTGGCTAAATAGATTATCCCTCAATTTATTACTTTCCTCTTGTATTTTACAAAATGTAGCAAGGAGAAACCAGGCAAATCTTCAACATTTTGCTTAGAAATCTTTTCTGCCAAATACCTTTGTTTATCATTTACGAATTCTAATTTCCACACTATTAGAACACAATTCAGTGAAGTTCTTCACCACCCTATGACAAGGTTTTACTATCTTTCACTGTAAAATAAAATGCTCATCATTTCCTTTTAAAGCTTCACCAGAAGCCTTTTGATTCAGCTTGCTTCTGTGCAGCTTTTATTTTATTATTATAAATTTTTATTGCTAATTAAGTGTTAAGTTCACATGTCAGACTATCAGTTCTGGATTCATCAGTTTGAAATACTCATCAACACCTATTCTTATATTCTATCTCATCCTGTTTCCCCTGATTTCTCTTCTCCCTCTTATGGACTGCCACCCTTTTTGACACACAAGTCCATACCTACCAACCTTCTAGTCCTTTGAGAAGCTCATTTAACAACCATACATCTAATAACATTCTGTTCAGGATGATAAATACATTCTATAAAGCAACAGATGTTTTCTCTACAATTCTATTTATTTCTTGCTGAGCTTTTACTGGAATCCCTTTTAACATCTCTAATCTACAAATAGTCTCTTGAAGGCAATTTATACTTTCATGATTATGCTCCAAAAGTTCTTCCTGTCTCTATCCATTATCAAATTCCAAAGCACATTTTTAGGCACTTGCTATATATAGTACCATGCCATTTCTTGTACCAAAATCTATATTAATTTCTTAGGGCTGCTGTAACAAGGTACTACAAAGTGGAGGTCTTAAAATGACAGATATGTATTGTCTTGCAGTACTAAAAGCTAGGATTTTGAACTCAGGTTGTCATTAAGACATGTTCTCCTCGAGGAATCTACAAAAAGTGTCTTATCTTTACCAGATGCTGCCAGGTCCAGAAATTCCTTGGATTCAAGCAACTGCATCCAGACTCCCTGTTCACATGGTTATCTACTGACCCTATCTTTCTCTATGTCATTTCTCCTCTTCTGTAATAACACCAATAATATTGAATTAGGCTCCACCTTACTTCAGTATGAGCTCATGTTATTTTAATTACAACACTTTCAAAGATCCTGTTTCCAAATAAGATTACATTCACAGTAATGGGGGCTAGGACTCCAACATACATTTTGGGTGGGGGGACAATTAAATCTGTACCACAAAATAAAGGATTAAGTGAGTACTTAGCAAAGAAAATACACTGATTTGTTTCCCAAACAAATATACATTTATTTGATAATCAAAACTCAGAGGAAAACATTTATTTTTTAAATTAAAGAATGAAGATTTGTTTGTATAAGTAATAAGTTTGTTCAAAAATGATCCTGTATTTTTTAGTAACAGTAGAGTACCTGATTCCTTTTGTTAATTTTTTTTAATTTTTTGCTTTTGTGACTCACAGTCTTTGAATCAAGAGTTTGTTAGTTTCTAGTGTTACTTAAGGTTATTTTTTTCCTGTTTGAATTTCAAGAAATTTCATATAACTTTACTTAAAAGCACAATAATCACAGAGATGATCAAGAAAATAAAGCGTAATAACATAATTGACACTATCCAAGCTGTAGTGGATACCTCCAAACGTAATGGTTTTCCATGCCCACTGTCAATGCTTCCTCCATATCCCCTTATGTCACAGAATGGAGGGGCCCAGCCATACATGCAGTGGCAGTTTTTTCTATTATTACAAGTGCCTCGTTGGTTGCACTTCTCAGGAAAACAGTCATACTGCAGAACTGAGATATTAACACAAGTTCGGTTAATACAGACCCGGTTCCAGCCACAGGGGGTGCCATCATTTATCACACCCAGGTCAGGTATCCCCATGGGTTTCATAGAAAAATGATAGCCTGTGCCCCAACACGTGAGATTTTCTTTCGTAAGATGAGTGCTAATTACTAAAGAATGGTCTGGCATCTCAGGGATAGTTTTGATACTTATACATTGCAACCTGCCACACAGGAAATTTTCTGAGCTACATTTTTTATAGGCATTGGGTCCTATAATACCACAGTTACCATATTTGTCACCCACCAAATTGACAGTATAATAGCACAGATTAGGAGCATTCCTGGCGCTAGGGCCAAAAATACGTTGGCACTGCAAAAACCTAGAATTGCACATCTTTTTGAAACAATGGGATTTGTATCTGCAAGGTGTTCCATCCTGTTTATACAGGTCATCTGGGCAAAGACTTGAAATTCCATTGCAGTATTCTTCAAGGTCACATTCATTTACTCGCTCCCTACAAATATCTCCAAGTGGACGAAATTGACAGTTCTGACAGCAAAGCCCAACGCTACACTTGGCACCACGTTTGAGTGTGCAGTCCGGTTGACAACACTTGTCTTTTTGACACTCTGCTCTTGAACCACAATCACATTCTTCATTCTCTTCCACAATTGTGTTTCCACATCTACCCAACATATAAGTTATTTCTGGTATATTATTTAGACAAGATCCTCCTGAATTCACAAACTTAAAATAATAGATAAAACTACAATTACTCCACCCAGTATGTCCAGTGCCCATGATGCAACTATGCTTACCCTTACATTGGCAGTATTCTTCATCATGTTTCATTCCCAAACCATGGCCAAGCTCATGAGTAGACCAAGTACCAGGCCCAAGGATATCTAGATTTGGAAAAATACTTGTAGATCCACCATACAATGTAGTACACATTAATCCAATAAAAGCCCAGCCAAGAGCATCAGGGAACTCTCTCTTGACATATAAATGTGACCAATCTGACAAAATCCGAGCATTTAGGATATTTCTTCTATATAATAAAAATTGGCTTAGAACTTCAGTTAACTTGCTTACTTCAATATTTATTTTATCTTTATCTGTCCATATTTCCAGAGCTTTAAGGTGTATCCTCATACTGATTTCCCGAAAGTAGGTATCCATAATTCCAGTAAGAAGAAGGGCATCACTTAAAGCTTGGGTTAGATTGGAATTCACAAACAAATATCTACCATGATCAAACAACATGACCAATTCCATATACTTCGGGTGCTTGTAGGATTCAGCAAAGTCCTTTATTCGAGCCATGTGCTCCTGCTGGGGCATCTGCCGCTCGATGTCGTCATCAGTTAAGCCACAGGTCCAATTGCTCAAGTACTCCTTATTCAGGAGATACACGACATGTTCAAACGTAGACGAGTCCTTGAGGGGCTCCACTTGGTAGAGGTCCTCTTCGATTTTCACTATGCCTCGGAGCCCCCCCATGCACGTACTGAAAATCGCTTCCGACTCCGGAGCGTCCTCCACCGCGCCCGCGTAGTTGCAGCCCTGCGGCAGGTAAGGGTGGTCCTCCATGAGCTCCCCCTGCTCCGTGAAGGAGAACACCCGAAGATGTCTGGGTAACAGAAACCTCTTGGGCCACAGCTGGAGGACGCGGTTCTTGCCTTTCACCTTCAGCAGGTAGGACTCCTGCCTGGCCACTCGGGGCCCTTCTGTGCGGAGGCCCAGCTTCTTGGGGGTGGTGATTTCGTAGGAGTCAAAGCCCCACTCGGGGTGAAAGTCTACCTCCTGGCCAAGAGCGCCAGTCAGGAGCCTCGCCAGGACTAGCACTGGGAGCCAGGGGCCTGGGGAGGGGGCGGTCCTCCCTGCCTTCATGGCCCGGCGCCCCAAGGCCAGGCCTCCGTGGGCCTGACTGCCAGAGACCGCCGCCAGGACGCGGGAGCACCAGGAGCCGCTCTCCCTGCAGGGTTTAGGGACCCTCCGGGGTCTGTTGGGCCAGCTACCTTCCTGGGCACTAGGCGGCCCTGGGAGTGGGTGTTCTGCGCAGTTCCGTTGGGCGCACGTGGGAGAAACGATGGGAGAGTGCACGAGAATAAAAGAAAGGAGGATGGGGTGGGGGGCAGTTGGTACATGGAATCAATGACATAAAGGAGCGTCAGAATTGAGAAGGAATAGAAAAATCGGAGGAAGGAAAGAAAATTTGTCAAAAGCTCACGTCACTCCCTGCCATTTAGATTGCCTTTTACGTGCCCTCTGCCCCATCTGAGGTTTTGCAGGGTACTGTGCCCACCTCCCCTTTGTCCCTTCCCAACTTTCCCTTGAGTAGCTGACGTCAAAGGCTGCTGGTGTACCCAGGTGGGCAGGAGTAGACACAGCCTGAGACTAGCGGTGTAAATACTACACCGTCACCAAGTCCCCTGACTCCATTTATGAGCCCAGGAAAGACAAAAATGCCAAATAAATGTTTTACCCAGTGGTTCTTCCTGTTGGTTGTCTTTTTGTTGCAGGATATTCGTTGACATTCTAGAAGAGGAAACTGCTTTCAAACAGAACAAAGTCCTGAAGCTGCAGAGAAGGGCCAAGAGTGGGTTTTGTTTGCAGTGCAGAGTGTGTCTGAGGGATGGTGGCTGGCAGGGAAGGAGATCCCAGCTCAGACCATGGAGATCCCTGTGGTAAATGTCACAGATCAATCACAAGGCCTCCCTGAGTGTGTTCGAGGGTTTCTGACACAAGAGTAACCTTCCCACTTCTGTTCCTGTAGATTTCATTCTAGCGGTAGTAGTAAAGGAAAAGCTTACAAAGGGACCCCACTTAAATCAAGTAGGCGCTCTTGTAAGAACCCAGACAAGGTGCTATAAGGTTTTTTTCATATTGTTGCAGTAATAACAATTATCTATATTTGTTAGAGAAAGAGATACACTTTCTATTTTAGGTAGTTTTACAGAATATTTGTTCAGCAATAACAGTCACCCTGTCCCACCCTCAGCCCACATCATTTCTCTTATTACTGACATCCTGCATTCGTGATGTACATTTATTAAAAGTCTGTATCAGTATTACTATCATAGTTCAATGAGGATTCACTCTGTGTGGTTTAGCCCTATGGGTTTGGACATCTGTTGAATGTCATGTGACTACTGTTTTTGCATCACTCAGAAAATGTTAACTTTCCTGAAGATAGCCTGAGCTTCACCAATTCTTCCCTCTTTACACATCTCCCAGAACCCTGAGTATTCCTGATCTATTTACTGTCTCTGCAGTTTTTTCCCCTTTCCCCCCCCAGAATTCCATACAGTCAGGATCATACAGTATGCAGCGTTTGTATCTTGGCTTCTTTCACTGAGCAATATACATTTACATTTCCTCCACATCTTCTGATAGCTGGATAGCTAGTGTCTTTTCATCTCTAAATAGAACACCTTTGTAGAAATTTGTCCCAAGTCTACTTCCCTGCTCACCTATTGAAGAACACATTGGTTGCTTCCCATTTGTGTCATGGATGAGTAAGTTTGCCCCGCCTCTTGCCCTAAGCCCTTGTCACTTCTAGTCTCCTTTCTGTCTCTACGAGTTTTGCTATTCTAGATACTTTATGCATGTATACTCATACAACATCTGTCCTAGTGTGTCAGTTTATTACACCTAGCATTATTATACCTACTCATTAAAGCCCTTCATGCTTTCATTTCCCTTAGATTTAGACAAGTATTGGTTTCCTGTTCCATTTCTCTCTTAAATTCTAACTCTGAAGATGATATTCAATATGTTTTCATTCGATGTGGGACTATGGGCTAAAAAGAATGCTATGTGATTTTTTAAAAAATAATTTTATTGGAGGATCATACAACTCTTATCTCAATCCATACATCCATCTTGTCCCACCATCAAGCTCAGCCTTCATTTGGGTTTCAGTAATTCCTCTCGGTTACATTGCCCTTGATCAAGTCCGACCAGGCCTCCTACACCCTCCTTGCTATCTGTTTTGGATCACTTGTTGTTCCCTTATCCCTGAGTTTGTTAACACCCACTTCCTTTCCCTTGGCTCACCCTCTCCCAAATCTTCCCAGGACCATCAGCCCCATTGTTTACTCCTCCAGATTGTTTAATTCGCCTGTCTTATCTAGATAGACTTGCAGAGATAATAATATGCACAAAAAACAAGACAAAGCAACAAAAGAAAACAAAACAACAACAACAATAAAAAAACCGATGACCAAAAAAGCAAAGCCTGTAAATAGTTCAAGGTGTGTTCATTGACCTTTAGGAGTGTTGGTGTGGTCAAATCTGATGGAGTGCCACTCCCTGGTCCCAAAGTCTACTTCTGGTGCTCCCTTGGGACTTCCTTGTTCTGCTCCCCTTGCTCTTCTGTTGCACACCCTTAGTGTTTTGCCTTGGTGTGGGTGGGATTAGATCGGGTGCAATTCCCACACTGTGTCTCCAGTGTTGTCCCCCATAAGGCTATGGGTCAGTGAGGGACATCGTGTCTCATAGTGGGGCTGGCCATATGGTCTTCTCTGTGTATTATCTGCTCTGAACAGATATATTGTCCTCAGAGCTTGGTGGGCCAGGATGTGCTCTACTCTCTCTCCCTCTCCCTTTGCTTGCTCCTGTGTGCTCTGATCAGGCATGTCCCTCTCCCTGAGCTATAGCTTTAGTGCTGTCCTCTGAAGTGAATACTTCTGGGGGGAGGGGTGGCTGTCCACATAGTTGCTATTGGGGCTAGCACTTCAGACCTCTCTACTGGTTCACTGCATCATGCTGGTATGTTGTATTCACATCTTGGAGCACTGGGTTGAAGTCTGGTCCCTCTCTCTCTGTGGAGATGTAAACAACACCCTCCCATTTGGTGGGTTAGTGCCCTGTCCCACTGCTACCCATGTCTTTTCCCCCCTCCTCTATAGTTGGCTACCCTATGTAACCCTGGATTTGGTCTTGCCCATGTCATACTACCTGGCATTCACCCCAGGAATATATGTATACAGAAGCTTTTTCCCTATGCCCTTTTTGCATTTTTAAGCTTACCTCAGTGGACTCATGTACTTGTCCTTCTGTGCCTGGCTTACTTTGCTTAGCGTAATTTCCTCCAATTCTTCCCATGTGGCAATGTGCTTCATGTGTTCATCACTGCTTTTTAGGGATGCATAGTACTCCATTGTATGTATGTACCAC